CCTTTTACAACCCAGTCTGGTTTCTCCTAGACAGCAATGAGAAGCATGAAACATGAGACTGTGACTTCTGTGAGAAATCGGTGTCTATCAGAATCGTCTCAGTAATATTATGTCCATGAATCTCGTTACTATGTTAGCTTGCTCGTCCATCTTTAATTAGAGTAAAACATTTACAAAAAAAGTACATGTTATGTAAGCTATGTGAAATAAAAAAACCTCTAGTAAGTAATGCCATACACCCAAAGCGCTTCACAATCATGAGAGGGGGTCTCTAAACACCACCACCAGTGTGCAGCATCCACTTGGATGATGTGACGGCAGCCACATAACGGAGAGTCAGGTCCTCAGTTTAACATCTCATCCGAAAGATGGTGCTCTTTGACAGAATAGTGTCCCCTTCACTTTACTGGGGCATTAAGACTCACACAGACCATGGGTTTAGCACCCCCTGCTGGCCTCACTAACATCACTTCCAACAGCAACCTAGTTTTCCCATGCGGTCTCCCATAGGTATTGACCAGGCTCAGCCCTGCTTAGCTTCAGTGAGTAACCGGTCTGCAGTGTAATACACCTGTGGCATTTCTAGGCATTACATTAGGATGATTGAAAGGGCCCACAGCGTTTTGGGCACCCAAAGATACTATTATGCCTCATTCAGACTAGCAGTGACTTTGTATCTGCCTGCCACTCTGGGTGACGAACTGCTGCAAATGCAGGTCTGTGTAGGTATATACAGCACAAATACAACTGGCCTCTAAGCGAGCTGAGAGCAGAGCAGGTGAGCCCTACTGGTGCTCCTATTGACTGTTGCTCAAGAAAATTGCTCCTTATGCTCTTGCATGAAGTTGAATGATTTTCAACATGGTCATTAACGGTCGCTGTCGCTCGCATAGACAGAGGTTGGCGGAAGTTGCTCAGTCTCCGTTGAAATGAACGGTCGCTTGTAGTGTGAATGAGGCTTTAGGAGCCCACCAGAATCTCCAAATCCCCCCCCTCCCCGGCTTATCACTTTTGTCCTCGACACCTACAAACCTGCCCACCACGCTCTTCACTTTCGTCTGCTACCTTGGAATGGATCTTCCATTTTTCAGGGTTCAGACAAAGCTAAGGTCTTTGTATAGGCAGTAAGGATAGCAAGGTTTTTAGCTCTAATTATGATCAAATACACCTGAAATGCTAATCTAGGTCTTCAGGGTTATCTGACAATTACAGACAAACTAAACTTGGCATTAGACCCTGACGCCAAGTTTAGAATATATGCCTTATTGTTTCAAACCAAGTGTGCCGCAAGCCTGCGTTTGAGTGAAGGTCTCGGCCGTTAGATCGCCCCCTGGGGGCTGGCTGCAGTACAAGTCATAAAGCCCGCCTCCTCCGTGTTAATGAAGGAGACTTGAGCCCAAATAAAAAAAATTATTACACTTGCAATAAGATGTCCCGAAAGATGGTTCTGGTCGATTAAGGAACTGGTTATTGTGCTGAAATAGGTGCCGATCTTCATTTTTGTAAACAGTTTGTTTTTAGCAGTAATTTAATGCTGGGCGTGTCATCGTGATTGACAGCTGTGATTGACAGTTTCTCAAAGCAAACTGGCTGAGCTTCAGCAGGAGACTGAAGTGTTATTATTTGATTTCTGTGTTATTTTACCTTGACAAAATGAGTTCAGCAGTAAACTACAGTTTCTGACATACATGATCCTGGTGGAACACTGTTTATTCGCTAAGGTCAGGGCTTTTTTCGGGCTTTATTAGTTTGCTGATACACGCCTAACCACCCAGATAGCAAAATACACTCGGGCCAGTTCCGGCTAGATTCTCGCCTGCCGGAGACTTACCCCTCAGAGCTCAGACTGACTACCTCCGCTGGACCTACTCCGGATGCCTGGACTCACTGCCCGATTCCAGCCTGAGTCAATCGAGCCAGATGCGGCGGCCGAGCGAGCTGGCGCAGCCGCATGCGAGCCGGAATCAGCCCGCGCCGCCGCGAGAAGGTTATGCGCTGCGGCCCGGAGCTGGCGCGATTGAATATATAAAACCCTCATATTTGTTAATGTTATTACATCCATTTGTGTTGATATGACAGCAAACGCATGCTGAGAAGTTCGGGGGGCGTGGTTGATTTTACACAAAGCGTTTGGTTGGAAGCTCGACTCCGCTCATTTTAGCGGTTCCTCTTCTGGCTCCATCAGACAGTCCTTCTGCACATGTCAAGGCTCCAATTTCAGCAGTCTTTTGCGACAGTTTGTGCCCGTCAAGCAGGCGTTTTGCCCTCAAGGCGTTCAATGGGAAAAGGGGCTGTCGCGTCGTCCATATTTTTTACAGTCATTGTTTCAAACCTTTTTGATATTTCAAATCTGTTAGTTTTTACAAACTCAACATTCAGTTTTGTTTCTACCCAAACACTTTTTGGAGTAATATCTGAGAAAAAAAATTTTACTTAAAAACTACTTTTTTTAAAGAACTCCCCTGAAAACATCTGAAGTCCAGAAAAAAATGTTTTTTTAGCCTCACTTCTTATCTAACCTGTCTGGCAGCTCAATTATTCTCCATTTGGAATGGAATGCTTTTACTTCTTTTGGCATGTTTTTGTCTATTAGGGGGCAAATTCCTCTTGATGTTGAGCTATAAAGAATCAGTTTGGTTCCAAACTGTTGAGTCTGGTTAGCTTTGTCGGTTGGACATCCAACTCTGCATTCAAACTTGCTTTTTTTCTTACTTTATAGTAGTCAAAAATAGCAAGCTAATAGTAGGTGAACAGGCCCATGTCAGAATTCACAGTAGTCATAAAAGCTCATCTACATTTACCAAGTCAAAACTAATTCTGCTAATCACACGGTGGAAGTAGGACACCATTCATTCAATCCTGAATATACTTTAACAGTGTAAATGTTCATTCTTCGTCAAAAATAGTACCTACTCAGTTGGAAATTTTAGATGCACAACTAAATTTGAGAGTAAAGTGAGCTCACGGCGTGTTTTTATTATGCGTTCATTATTTGTGGGCCTCCATTTTTGTGAGTTTAATGAGAGGAATGTTCTTTTTCATGGCTTGGAGTGCAAGCTGGAATGTGGCCTCTGTTCATGGAGACGGCTTGCCAACAGTGAAGCAGGTGGCAGAATTGTTGTGCTGTTGTGAATAAGGCTCCTTTCTGCTCTGAAAGAAAGATGCCATTCATGCCAAAGAAGGGATCCAGATAAGAGCAGTTAGCACAGACTCACACTTGTGAAACATGTCAAAAGGACATAAATGTGTCTTTTCAGATAAGATACAAACCAGTCGACACGTTGTTTTTGTAAAGATATATATTAAGGTTTTATTCAAATTACTGAAATGTTAATGACATACAAAACAATTCCCATTCTTGAAGTTCACAGCAACATCCAAATATGGGTCAACCAGTTTGAACTGCGTATCTACATTTCACGTCGCTAATGCTCATACTTTTATTGTATAACTTAAAATGTAATGCAAATCTTTGGCATGTTCACATTACTAAATACCAAAAAAGTAAAACAATATACAAAATATATTAAATTCTCTCGTTTCAAAACAGCCCTTTCTGTAAACAGTCCAAGTAGTGAACAAAACAAACATGACTTCAGTACAAAGCCTTGACCAGCAAGTGCTATGCATCGAAGGCAATAGGAAAATCAAAGTAGCATTTCATGATACTGAAGAAAGGTTAAATTAACATGGTTTGATACTTATTACGCACACAGATAAGACTGACTCGTTATATGGTAACCATTTATACCATTATCCCACTATAAACCCACGCATTTGTAGTCTTGGTTTCGAACAAATGTTTTAGACAGGCAGAAATGTCTCTGCCTCCAAAATGAAGGCTAGTTGCAGTTGCTACAGTGGAGATCCTTTAAGTCATAAAATGCAGTAGAACAGTAGAACCAGCTACTGCGGCACTATGGAAATAAACAGATCCAAAAAGAGGATGGTAGTCTGAATGCCAACCGTTTTGAACAAGGCCAAGGGTCAGACTGCAGATAGCCTTTTTCCTTAGAGCAGGGGCATTCCACAATGGAGGAATGTGGGAAGATTAGCTCCGGCTTGTCTGCAAGGGAGTGGCAAGTGTGATGGTTGCAGTTCTGGGTGCAAAATAATAATAATGTGGCATGTGAAACATCAGCCCCTGTCTCTCCTAAGGGTAATACTTCCCCTAAAAGAGTCGCTAAAAGAGTACGTACCCTTCCACCGTCCCTGAAAGGAGGCTTTCCATACCACTATTTAAATCAGGGGGTGAAAAGCACCCACAGTCAGTCCGTTATAGCAAGAACACCAACTGTAATGATAATTCGGTCAATGGGAGTGCTGGTGAAGGTATTTACCAAACTATTCTGGTAGATTTTTTAATCCCAGGCCTCCCGGTTGAAACTGTATTTGGCCTCCTACAATCCAAACTATTCTATTCTTGATATTTAAGGATGAAGCAGTTGCAATGGCATACCTACTATACATGGAGCGTGTAAAGTTAGAGATATATTCGTCTGTGATTTTTATCTAGGAATGTGGGATATAGTCTTACATGGGTTGGTATACTTAACTGGTAAAAAAAGAACACTGCCCTTGGTTGTTTTTCAAAGGAACGCAAATGCACAAGTTTCACAATAGTGGGATATTTCGTCCTATTACTCCATTCTGCACACTTTACAAACTAAATGTCACACAATCAGCAGCAAAACTTATAAATACAATATAACATAAACATATACAATGTGTTTATAAGCACTTAAGTTTTGTGGTAGCTTTAGAGTAGAGTACTGTCCAAGTACCTCACATTCAGACCATACATCCACAGTCTAGGTTCAGTCACCAGCTGTCAAGGGGAGCTCAGCTCTCCTTCACCAAAGATCCACCATTCATTCTTCTCACATCCTGATGCACAAACTCAAAATCAGCTTCAATGGCGAGTTCCCTATTGAACCAAGCACAGCTTCTCTTGATTAGGTTGGTCCTCAGATGGAGACCCAAGAAGAATCTTCTGTGCCTAAGAGCAGCAGGCAGCAACATGCTGGACATTGTTAATCTCAGATGAGGATCTCCACCATGTCATTTTCGACAGCACTGCTGATCTGGGTTGTCTTGAGAGAGGTTGATTCTGTAATATAATGTAAGACTGTCAGCTTTCTTTGTTCATGCCTGAACAGCAAACAAGGTGGGAAGCTATACAAAACATAAACTATGTTTTGTTTGAGTCCTCTCCCCAACCGCTATTTTGACATAGTGTTTCAAGTTACACTTTAACTACTCTGGTTCAAAAGGGCAAGTATGCACCGTCATTATAAAAGTTCTAACCATTAAGGGTTGTCTTTGTCACATGATATGCATAATAGATTTGCCAAGTTATGGGTCTACCAAATAATGTGGGATGAGTGAAAATGGCATGAGCTTACACACCAGAGCTAGAAGCAGTGGAAGGTTCTGGAGCAGATACAGCAACATCAGCAGGTTCTGCTTTACAGCTGGGCTCTTCTGAATCACACTGTGTGCTGCTGTCTCGACACTGGATTTTGGCAAGCAGATGGGGCAATGGGGGCAAAGATGCGACTGCTGTCTGGTCATCTGATAGGCTCTTCCCTGAAATTGCAGATAGAAAAGGAAGCAGTTTAATTACATGTTCCAATATAGGCATGCCGCCATGCAAACATTTGCCATCCAGAAAACTCCCTTTACTATTATTGTGAATCTATTCTTGAGGACAGAAATACCAAAATGCATTCCATTTCACAAGAAGTAGACTATTTCAAGAACACCAGCTAGTCACAGCACTCATTTTATTTTGGTTGGCACATTCCTCCTTGGCGACATTACATAGCCACTAAGAAAAGAAGCTTCCAGTTGTCCAGCTGAAAGTGTATGTCACAGAAGTGCAGTGTTGGCTCACAGTTTTCAGTCTTGCTCTTTAAATACAATCCTAATTAAACACACCTGAACCAGTTAATTCTGGTCCAGATAGGCTGAAGCCAAGCTGTGCAGGACTTCAAGTGGCAGGTCTGTACATCACCTGGCCCGTAACTACTTTGCTCACCTTTGGCTCGGGTGGTGCTAGCTGTGGCAACGGTGTTGATGGAGGGAACAGATCGAGCAGGTCGTAAGCCTTGTAACTCAGGTCGGCCTTGCTCTCGTCTTGACCGCTGCTGCATGACCTTTATAATGGCATCCTTCTCCAAGAGTTGAGCATAAAGTGCCCGAATCCTGTTAAAACATGGACTACTTTGAGATACAAAACATCAAAACTATAGGAAACTCATTTTTCTAGTGAATACAGACTTTCTAGAATAGGATAGAGAATGTAAATGGTGGACATACCGGTTTTCCATCTCCTGATGCCTGTGGTTGGGGGACGGCAAATCCTCATTGAAGCTGCTGTTGGGTGAATTGCGGGGTGAATGGTTGATGATTGTGGTATCCCTGGAAAGAGAATTATGGTTGTTGCAAGAGTTGAGCAATAAATTAAAAAGAGTACTATTTTTTGACTATGGCATCTCTACCACTTGTGCTTTTACTCACCTCTGAGCTGCGGCAGTAGCAGCAGCATCCATGGCAAACTGACGCATTGTGCTCTCCTCAAGATACTTCTGCTCCCAGCGGGTGATGTCAGCCTCCAGGGCCAAAACCTGCTCCTCTCTCTCCCTCAGTTGCTGCTGTAGTGATGATACATTAAGGTCCAAGTATGACCCTGGGCTTGCATGCTGGGTTTGGGCCTGCCACTGAAAGAGAAATAGTGGTTTACTTTTTTAATCCCAAATTGTTGATTCTTATTGAACAGAAGTTGTCTGTTTTTTCTTTTACCTGCTGTGCTCTCAAACTCTTCAGCTCCTGCTCCAGTCTGGTTCTAAGTCGTAACTCCAGTGCTTCCCTCTTCTCACATGCTGCCTGCAATTGCGCCAATGCACTCTGCATCCTTTCCACCTTCTCCACATAAGCTCTCTTCCTACGTAACTCTTCTTCCAGCTGCCTATTTCGTGTCTGAGCTGTGATAAGTGCTTGCTCCAAGGCTTCACGACGCCTCTTCCATTCTTCTCCTGAGGCCCTTAGATGCTGTGTCTCTTTTTCCAGACGTTCCCGCTCTCGAAGATGGTCCTCATCTATGGAAAAAAAAGAGACACACAAAATGAGAACCATGTACCATGACAACTTACTACAGTAAAGGTACAAGAACATTCAATGCTATTCAGTCATTATGCTTCTCACACAGGCCACAAAATGAATGACCATGCAGTAGGACTGGGGTGTGCCCATAGCATTCTCTGGGCTGTTCTCTCATTCTAACCAATTCTCAAGGGATAAGCTTCCCACAAGAGTCTGGAACAAAAGAGGCATGCTTGATTTACACACGTCTGTCTGGGTTTGCAGGGGAGTGGCCAAGTTTCCCTGTGTCCTTTGACCTACACTGCAGACTGCTTTAGAATTCCCAGATTACAAAAGCGATTCACTGAATTCCCATTTGGGATGCCAAATTCCTCAAACCCTTTAAGATGACTTGGCACACTGAAAAGGACATACTAAAATCCAACTCAAAATTAGACAGGAATCAGTTTTACATTCTACTTCTGCTCTGATTATACAACCCAAAACAAATGCCTCTGGATGGAATGCAGGCTTCCACTTATCCACTTACACACACAGGCAAGTCTTTGTACCAACTGGATCTCTGGAATGCCTCTGAGCCATGCAGTAAACAAGTAAAGCAAATAGCTGCAAAAGGTCATTAAGCGTAACGTTAACCTACACGTTGTTCTAAGCCTTCAGAGATGCTGAATCATGTCTTTGACGTATCTATGTGTTAGCTCAAAAGGAAATTTTAAAAACCTTACAACATCACTGTTTTTTATTCACAAAGCAAAGATATGCCTTGACTCAGACTTTTCTGTTTTTTGTTTTTAACCCCAGAATGGGGGTAGATTAAAATCATACTTCTTTCCTTGGGGGAACAACATTCATTTTATTAGAATCCTACCAAATACTGAACAACAACAATCCCTATTAGGATTAGCAAAACAAATCCAGTTTACTCTAACACAGCTTGGAATTCTTTAGCATTAATTTGCCCAAAAATGGAGAGACAGCGGACAGGGCACCAGAAAAGGGTCTCTATGGCCTCAGTGGCTGAAATAGTGGGGGAGCTGTTAGGAAGCATTCCAGGAGGACGGAATATCCCAAAATACCTGTAAATATTCCAGGAATCCAGGTCATATTTATTTACAGTGTTAATAATGGTTGCGGGTCAAATTCCAAAAGCAACTATATGAGATGAAGAATATAGAATGTGCTTAACCAGGTACTGGATCCTACATTACATAGACTATTTAAATACATTTATTTATTTATGTTGCCTAAATACAACAAAGCACTCTGTCAAGAAACATTTCAATGATGAACACATTATTAATTATTAATGGAATGCATCGTTAAGCCAACAATATAAACATGAAAGAATGCAGTGGGAACAGCTGGGATTGTTTCATGGTTGACCGCACATTGGGAGAAGGATAATTTATAGAGAAGCAAAGGGGAATTCTTACTTTGCTCAACCAGTTTGGCGAAGGCATGCCGACTCTTGTCTTCAACTTCAATGGCTGCTCTCTGTTTGTTGGCTGTTTCCAGGCGGTCTAATGAGGGAGTCAACAATTAGTATTTATTGCCTCATACCAAAACATGCAACTCATTTATAAGACAATTACTCAGCTATGCGAACCATCTTACCCCTGAGATCTCTGTTAAAGTCATGAAGTCGCTTGATCTCACTCTCTAGCTTGTTCCTCATGGTTTTCTCAAGGGCTTCTCTCTTTGCAGATCCCTTCATAAGAGTCTCATAGGCCTCCGATATCCTCTGAATCTCCTGTTCAAGCTGAAAGAGAGAAGAAAGGCATGTTAACATCCAATTTAAACCCATCAGTTTCTGGTCTCTTTAAACAGGAGATTCACAGGAGGTTGGAAATACTCCTAAGAATATCCTTTAGTGTCAAGCAGAAGAACTAACAGGATACAGATTTTCAACAACATGAGGGCAAGTATAAGACACTTTTTCTTTTTCGGCTGGCACAGTAGTGTTTCATAAACCCAAACGTAATAAAACAAGGAGCCGCAAGAGCAAGAATGGAAAAAAATACAAACAAAAATTTGAGATAAAAAGGGAAGGAGGGAAGAATGTGCTTGGCTGGGGCTCTCTGTGGTGCTTGCCCACTAGTGAATCACTCTCACAGAGCTCCTCAGGGACTGGGAATTGAATCAACATTCCAAAAAGAACACTTATGAGTCCCAGGTGTCCGCACATTCATCTCCCTACAGGGCAGGATGCCAAAGGCGAATACAGGGAACAAAGGAAATGTGCAAGCTGGAGGAATACCATTCAGAGAGACTGGAACAGTCCACAATATATGCACCTGTATGACATTTATGACATGGAAAATGGGATGAGAAAGCGATCGTCCAAAAGGAACAAAATTTTCCAAATAAACAAATATGGAAGCTTACAAAACCCCACCACTGATTTATTTTTATAATTTCTTCCCTTTTCTGGATTTTATTTTTAACTTAAAAACTACATATATGCAACCTACATGTGTAGGTTCACAAGCAGGTCAAAAGGTGCCGTGTGGAGCTCTGTTCAAGAGTGAAAGTGAAAGGGGCCATTGAATCAGGGAATCCACAGCTGTGAGGTCTTGTGATTGCGCTTTGCAGCCCAGTCCATCAGCTGTGGGCTAGCCAAAGCCCCTTCTTCATTCTCGGACACGAAGATGAGCCAAGACATCTGCTCCTATTGGAATCCCATTGGAATCCTAACAAAGAGGGCCACAGGAAAAACCCAGCGAGGCCCCCTTCCCCTTTAAAGTTGACTGGGATTTCAAATTTGGTAGTTTGTTGGATAGTGGCTTAATGTTCATGATTCAGTGTTTTAGGATAGAATATTTTAAGAATATAGTTTTTAATCCAAGCACCATGTATGGACTGAATTCCACTGAAACTCAATCTAGCTTTTGCCACTGAACGACACACAATAGGCCCAATAAACTTTAGCAAAACAAACACCAAGATAAGCTTGTTTTTCCCCCTTGCTCTGCCATAACACTCTGGTATTTCAGTGATGACATTATCACATTACAGAAAAATGCATGGCATTTTAGGCATGGGTAAATTCAGTGTTGTTTCGCATGCTAAATAAGTTACTGGGAATTTTCACTCAGTGACCAAGAATGTGTCCTTTTCAAATTAAATTGAAGTCCTTGTGATCCTCTCCCTTGCATGCATTCCTACACGGCAAGAGAGCTAATCTTCTTAGAATGCAGAGGCTAGAAGACACCAGCGCACAATGATTTCTTGTTCTCACTCTTTGTAGGTCATGTCTGAGTTCACAATCAAAGGACACAGCTGCCTTTTTGCATCCATGGCAAAATGTGAGGTCATACCAAAAACATCACAGTTCTAGAAGGTTGCAAGGAAGTTGCAATCACACAAAGAATCCTGTTACCTTCTGTAACCTTGCCGCCTTCTCACTGTAGCTGTCCACTTCTCTTTTCAGTCTTTCGTTCTCTTTAATAAGCTGCTCCATTTGGAAGTTGTTCGCTGGGATGCTGTATCCTCCAACATTGACATCCTGGCCAGCAGGGGTCAATGTGGGCAGGCCATTGTGACGAGGTGCTTGTGGCTGTGTTGGAAATAACCTGAGAGAGACAAAAATAAACATTAGAACACCCATGATGTTCATATAGAGTGTACAGTATATACAATGTGACCAAAATATAATTTTACCTGTAATGCTGTGAATGGAAGGCAGGAGGGGGCTCATTATAATAGTGTCCATGTTCCTGTGAATGACTAAGCATATATCCAGGGGATCTGACCATGAAGGGGTACTCCGGGGGAGGACCCCGTTGGTCTGGCTGATGAACTGACTGCTCATTCACAACTGTATCAGAGTGGTTATTAGAGAGTTGGGGATAACTATGCGATGAGCTCATGGGAATATTGTCATGGGCACAATTTCTCTCTAGTGAGAGTTGCAAAAGACGCTCACTTAGTGAGCGTGCATGCTCTCGTTTCGCATCCCACATGCTGTCGTCCTGTTCGGCTCCTCCAACCCCTCCAGGGCTCTCCAGACTGCCTTGATGAAGCCCTATCTGTCCTCTCTGGTAGGCAAGATACTGTGAGTGTGCCTTTGCTTCCTCATAAGTAGGCAGCTCCTCTGTGTGGAGCTGATAAAGGTGACAAACAGGACTCTCTGAATGCTGGAAGTCACCCTGGTGCTCTTGGCCCTGGGGCTCTTGCCGGGCGGACAACTGGGGAGAAAGTGATTCCTCTTGTGTTAGGCTTTCCAAGGATGAACGAGGGCTTCCTGCACCTCCACCGCTGCTGCCTCCACGCAGAGCCTGCTGCTGGATGGCTAACAGAGTAGGATCGGTAGGGTTTCCATAACGAAGCTGCTCTTGAATCAGTCGGTGCAGCACCGTTCCTGATGATTCCTCTGCCGTTCTCATTTCAGTCTATGTTTAACAGACAGCAATCAGTGATACTGTGTTATGAAAGATCTTCTAGACTGTGAACCTGCATAAAAAAATAAATATTTCAAATGCAAATCCTTTCTATTGTTCAGCTATATTGAAACACTCTATAACAACAAACCAGTGAGTGGTGCCTCACTCCACATGCTTCTAGGCTGACTGCCTTTACCCATAGCAACACCACGTTCACCCAAAATACCAATGGCTTCATCCTACAACACCCACTATGAGCTGGGTTTCTGCTCAAGTTTATACTATTGATTAGCATAGGAAGCAATGGAAAATTCAGTTAGAATCCAACAACTTTCCAAAGTTGCACAAATTATTTCCTGCTACAAACTACAAATTCCTATCCAGTGTATCATATTTGTTTTACAACCACAACTGTAGTAAAACATTCGAACATACCAAAGAAGCATGAAAACAAGATTTGAAATAAACGTTTAGTTCCTCATTCTATTAGTGTACTTTAAAGAATGTACAACTAAAGTATTATAAATTCTTCCAGAACAAATGCACCAAAACAAAGTTGGCTTCTGCCTATAAACAAAGCCCTTCCATGCACACACTGCAGTTTATTTAATGAGTAAACGTTTAGCCACAATAACAAACCCATCGCTCTTATAGAAAACTAAGCAATATGCCATATAAAGAGTTCGTTTACAACAACAAGCTGCGTTAGAAGTCTTTAAAAAAACTCACCGAGTCACAGTGGCATCACGAATAAAAGTTTCAATGCTTTTCCGTACTCGTCTCTATGTTTAAAGATATAATCCTTCTGGAAATATGTTGAGTACGACTTACATTTCCATGCGTATGTTCGTGCGTGCGCGCCTGGAGAGCTTCTCCAGCAGACTGAGCTCAGAGCGGGAGGGGCTCTGCTAATAAATGACCGAGCTCCGATTGTTCACGGCCTCTGGAATGCGCGGAATGCGAAGGCTGCGAGTCCCTCGGGGATCAAAAGCAGTTCCGCTTGTCTCTCGCCCCGCCTCCTCCTCTCGCTCTCTCTCTGGAGCGCCGGAGAACCGAGCGGCCCCAAGCGGAGCGCGCCGCTGAAGGGGGGCAGTGCGCGCGACAAGCGGAACTGCATTCACTCTCAGCCCCGTGCGCATTTGTTGTCTGGAAGGCGTTTTTTTTAACAGTGAGAGAGGAATGCAGTAAAAGTCGCAGGGATCTGTAACTACGCTTTCTTTTGAAGTTTTAGCTCTCTCATGTGTATTTACAATGTATTTTGTATGTAAACAATAAGTCATTTATCTTTTTAGATTAGTTTTATTAATGTTTACCTTTGACAGTGATGATTTTCTTTTTACAGGCACTCAACTGCTATATTTATGTATGATGAATTATTATTTTTACATAAAGATTATTTCCCAAATAAAATAAAAATACTTGTAATCATAGTTACAGTGCTCAGCATACTTGAGTACACCACATTCCAAAAATCTATATTTTTTCCATTTCTCAGTGAATATAGGCAATGTGTTTTGGTGCATCCAAACAAAACAGATTCATTAAACAGATGTATTTATTAAAATAATATTTTAGTCACCAAACATATTTAGAAACTGAAAGATAATACAATTAAATTCAAGCAAAATATTGCAAAAAAATGCAACCTACAAAATTTCAAATACATTTTTGAATTTTTTACTTCTCTTGATTTTCTTCTTTTTAAAAATTTGTATTTAATATTTTTCAGCTCCAGATTTGGCTTCAGTACTGACTTATCTAATGGATATGCACAAATATAATATTGTAAGGCCTCCAAAAAAAAAAAAAGATGAATTGAAAAGATAGATTTGTGAGGGGTGTACTTATATTTGCTGAGCACTGTACATATTATATTAATATATTTTCTGAATGTTTACCTTGAGATGATATTCTCTTTCCCCAGACTCAATTTCTATACTCCGTAATCTAATATGACAATCATAAAAATTGTATTTTAGTATTAATAATAAGCATTCATTACTTTTGTGTTTTGTGTTCTGCCAGTATGGCTTTGGAATGACATGAAGGTGAGCTTTGAATTAAAATTTTTCATAAGTCAAAATGCTTTAGTGCTCAAGTCCATGTTTTTTATATTAGGTGGAAAATCTAAATAAATACATATGGAAAATACACATTAATAAATGAAATCGGAGGTCTTTTGTTTGCTCTGGGCTGGTGAATATTTAAGCTGTGGCCCGTGCCAGTTAATTGCTGAGTGTGTGTGTGTGTGTGTGTGTGTGTGTGTATGTGGATGGTGAGGAGGGGGTGTCTGTGTATGTGTGTTTGAGGCATGCTGCCAACCAGCTGTCCATGGAGAGCAATCCTCTTCCAGCCCTTAATCATGCCTCAGAAAGAGAGACGTATTGTTCTCTCTGAAACAGACATTACAGGGGAGAGGTCTACCATCTGCTCTATACCCTACACCTCCCTTGCACACACGATTCACAAACACACACGCCTGACACCCGTCACACATAACGCACGTACCATACTTCACATATCACACATTTATTATGCTTAGCTCCCGTTTTGCTGTACAAACAGATACAGACAGTGACACTGTAGGGTAATGATGTAGATCACAAATCTGTTGATTGTGTATGTTTGTTTGCAACTGGCAATTTACACACTTAAAAATAAAGCTTCCAAAAGAGGGGTCTTTGGTCAGGTCATAAAACAGCTATTTTTGGTTTCCTTAATTTTAAGAATAATTCTAAAAAAAAGTACATATAGAAAAATCTAAAGAACCATATGTGATTGAAATTTGGACATTAAATGTTCTTCATGGAACTATCTGTACCATAAAGAACATGTATTAATACCTTTATTAGCTTCCCTGAATTACTCGCCCCCTGTTTATTTTTTACCCCGATTTCTGATTAACGTAGAAAATATTTTTTAACACATTTCTAAACATAATCGTTTTAATAACTAATTTCTAATAACTGATTTATTTAATCGTTGCAATGATGCCAGTAAATAATATTTCACTAGATATTTTTCAAGACACTTCTATACAGCTTAAAGTGACATTTAAAGGCTTAACTAGGTTAATTTGGTTAACTAGACAGGTTAGGGTAATTAGGCAAGTTATTGTATAACAATAGTTTGTTCTGTAGACTTTTGAAAAAATATATATAGCTTAAAGGAGCAAATAATTTTGACCTTAAATGGCATTTAAAAAAAAAAAAATCTTTTTTTTTTTTAAATTATTCTAGCCAAAATAAAACAAATAAGACTTTGTCCAGAAGGAAAAAAAATATCAGACATACTGTGAAAATGTCCTTGCTCTTTTAAACACCATTTGGGAAATATTTAAAAAAGAAAAAAAAAAAAAGATCAAAGGGGGGCTAATAATTCTGACTTCAATGATGCATGACATACTGTTATGTATTTATTAATGCAATGCCAGCTTGTTATTGTGACTGGTATCACTTTATTTTGATGGTCCCTTTAACGTATTTTGTTAAATTAAAGCTACATTGCATCTACATGCCAACTAATTCTCATTAGATTATAAGTGTTAGCTACTTGCAAAGTGTTTTATAGTCAGTTAAATGTCTGTTGAAGAAGCAGTATTACCAGATTTTAAGATATTGTATTATATAGATATTAAATACTCAAATGAGAATTAATTGGCTTGTAGTTGCAAAATGTGTAATAGGGACTATCAAAATTAAGTGTTACCATGACTTTTATTCAATTTTATTGGAACTTTTCCTGAATTATGAACACTGTGGAACAAGTTTATTAGCATAAAAAATATAAACATAAAACTAAAATAACTTTTGCTACTTAAAATAAACTATAACTGATAAAATTGGTTAAAAAATCAGGTTTTTGGAAATGTCTCTTGTTGAATTCATGTAGTTAAAAAAAGCTTAATAATAACTATAAAAAAATAAAGAAATTGCATATTTTGTATTAATATTTGTTTAGTTAGCGACAAGCAATTCACTCTAAAGAAACACATAATGATGAGAAGTGCAAGTAATATAAATTTTCAGCGATGGCTAGACAAAATAAAAGCCAGATTGGAGAAGCATTGTCCATTTATAAACACATTTAACAGAAAGTACTCCATGTTTTGGTAAAAAATACCCCCTCAAAAGTTTTTTTTTTTTTTTTCTATTTCGCTGTGTAAAACAGATGCTGGATAAGTTGGCAGTCCATTCTGCTGTGGTGACCACTGAAAAAAAAGGGACAAAGCCGAAGGAAAATTAATAAATTATTATTATTATTATTATTTACAAATAATTAAATCACTACAACTGATTCGGGGAGATTTCATTCACATTTAGATAGAGTTTAAAGGTTATTAGAGTTCCCAAGGAGATGGTGTTTTTATTACAAATATTTTCACTGTACATTTTTTATTGTCTATTAATAAAATAAATGATCCCACTGACAAAAAGGCCATTTTTATTTAATTTAAATAATCATTAAACTCAGTATGTATAGACTTACTATTAATCTGCTAATCATGTAAACAGTTTTAACCCTAATCAATAAAAAAATATGAACATGTAATTCATTGGATATAAATATTAAAACCTCCTGTGTGTTTAATCATATTTTCATTAGGACTATTTAGTAAATGGCATATTAGTAAAAACTGTATACATGTTTAAAAAAAAGTCATATCTATATAAATGGAAATTCTATATGCCTTTTAAATACATCCTCTAACCAGAGATGCCTAAACTAGGGCCCACAGGCCAAAGTTTGGCCCATGGTAACCTATGCTTTGGCCCACCATCCTTCTGCCTTTGACGTGATTTGCTCTCTAAAGTCTCCGCATTGTTGAGTAACAGTACACACATTTAAACAAAATCAATAAAAAAATGACAGAAAGTAATTTACACCATTTAATTGAAACATTTAATTTCAGATAGCTTTTGACAATAACACACACAAAGGGTTACATTAAATTTGATTTGACAATCTCAAAACATCCCCTTCATTCATCCTCTCTATAGGGATAGTGGGCCAAATCAAAGGTTAAATGGTGTAAATTATTTTCTGTTATTTTTTTATAGATTTAGTTTCAATGTATTTACTGTTACTCAACAATGCAGAGACTTTGGTGAGCAAGTTTGACTGGTTATGTTTTTATGGCAATAAGTTATAATTAAAAAAAATTATACTGCATTAGTTAATACAATTGTAATTAATGTTTTTTATTATTTTTTTTATTTTGAAATATTAGGAAATGAATTAGGAAATTTACGATGGCAACTTTAATGTAGTATATTAACCTTCAACCCACAATGATATTTGGAAATATGAAAAAATGTGGGCACTCCTGCCTGCTCTAAACACACATTTTAAAAGCTTGTTCAATGAATACAGCAGCACCTGCTCTGAAAAGGACACATTGGAAAGTTAGAAAGTCCCTGCATTTTAGTGAACGGCAGCTGTGAACAGAAATCAAGCCTGCACTTGTTGACGAGACAGTTGGACTCCATTCATATCATACGCACAGATCTGCTCCTTTTTTATGTCAATATGCAAACACACAAACACTTTTTTATTTAGAAAGCTACAAATAGTTAATTTGCATGGCAGTTACAGAACCGGCAGGTTAGTTTGCCTACTCATTCATTGCGTATTTGCGTATTTGTAGGAGCTGCAATAAAAGGAAAATCTCTTGCTATTTTTAGGTGACTTATATAACAAAGATTTTTTAAAAATTGCTTGATAGATAAAACCCTTTAGTGTAAGACAAACACTTTAGTTTAAGTTAAACCATTTACTACTGGCTTATTACCTGCCTAATATTAAGATATTAAAGGACGTCCAATGTTCTTCAGCACCTAGACTGCAGCTCTGCACAAGAAGTTTGACCAGA